CAGTGTACCACTACTGTGTATATTATAAGTGTATGAAACTCGCAGCGGCAGCAGCAGCAGCAGCAGCTCCTATCGACCGCTACGATCTCTCCGGGGACAGGTGCGGAAAAGAAAAGTAAGGGACACGTTCGTGAGTTCGCGCAAGAGATGGACGCGTGTATAATTATTACTCCTCGCGGGTATAGCGCCGCATATACACTGCTACAGTATAACATAAGCGGCAAAAGTTCTTAAAGATGAATTTGGCCGAGGATAGATGCAAAAAATCCAACTTTTAATTTTCTAGGAATGGGATGCATCGTCGCCGTCGTCGTCGTCGTCGCAGAGTTAAGATGTCTGTTCCAGAGCTCTCCTATACCTAGAATAGAGGATACGCGATGCGTTTCGAATCCGCGCGGCGGCGACGAGGTGGTCCACCGCTGATGGCGATAAAAAGTACAGCCCATTAGCGGCACAGCTCGAGCTCGCTACATGGGCTCATCTCGGCGCGCGCCGAAATAAAATGTTTCCTATTCGTGTGCGTGTGGACTGGTGAATAGTCATACATCTATTTGACGCGTCGCGTGCGGTATAATTCTGCGGAGATTGCGTTGGGAGCTGTATCTACCTCGCAGGAGCTTCTTGTATATACTTGGAGATAATTTGGGAGGAAGCTTGATATTTTTTTCTAACTTGTAATTTGAATTAAAATGTTTGCCTAAACATATTACGTTGTTAATAATTGTCCTAAAGAAAAAAAAACCCATAGAAACATAAATTGGGTCGAAAAAATATTTCCGCAAAAGTTTCAGCGCTGCTCTTAGATTCGAGCGCGCGTTCGAAAAGTCGGTCTTATCTCGCATCCAATATCTCGGACTGCAATTTAAAATATGCCAACTCTTAGAAACGAGGAAGAAACAATTACGTATGTATGAGATGTATGAAAAAAATTGGAATGAAACGAAGGAATCACCTGCGCTCTCCAGTGCTAAATGCACCTGCGCTACACAATATATATAATACTCTCTTGTGTATATGGTGGTAGCAGCAGCAGCAGCAGCAGCAGCAGAAGCGAAGGTTAAACTCGAGGTGCAAAACTTGTGCCAACGCTAAATGGACATACAAGGGACACAGGAGAGAAAAATTGACATCCCATTTTCGATAAACATACGCGGCGAGCGTCACCGACGACCATCGAGAGTTTCACAAAAGTTAATAAACGCACAGCAACTTCGACGCGCGCGACTGTCCGCGAAACTTCGACTTAATCCCTACACTCGTATACGCACTGCGATGCTGCAATATATCGCTCGAGCGAGTATAATGAGTTTGCGGAGATCAATTGGTTCGGACAAAACGAGAGATCGCGAGACGCGTGTACGTACGTACATTTCGTCAGGGGGGCAGCACAATTGCTGCCTTCTTTTGCCGCGCGCGTAAGAAAGTTGCACTTTCGAAACAAAAACGACGCGCCGTTTTGGTGTTCTACATGTGTAATTAACTCGACGGGTACACGTGTTTACACGACGCGCGCGCGCGCGAGTGAAAGCGAAAAGTCGCCGCGAGTAGACGGGTGTATGTGAAGTATATAATATATAGCGCCTGTTGGGCTGCAACCACGTTGGGCCGATGAGCTCGCAGGTCACCCTCCTCTATGGAGCCTCACGGGCGATCGTTTTTTTTCTGAATGGCGCTGTCTAGAAACACTGTCGATGCAATAAAGTATATTGCAATAAAGTATATTTTGGCTTAAATACGGACGCGTTGATGCATTGGTGATACATGCATAAATTGCACCGCCCGATGGGCAATTTAACTTTCGTTGCTTCGTGCCAAACGAAAGAGGTTGCGACCGCAATATAATGGCACGTTTCGGATAACTCCTTAATTGCTCCTCCGCTTTTATCTGTCTGTTAAACGATTATCTTATTTTTAAAGGGTTCGTATAAAAAAATTATTTAATATTAAATAACACTAATGAAGTATCATTTAAAAAGGTTCAGTAGAACACGCGAATTGAGAATGACTTTTAATCGATTAATTGAGAGAATTGAACAAGATCGTTCATAGTGGCACTCTATACTATGATATTCGACGAATACTTATTTCGAACGTGCAAGTTAGCAATTTATTTACTACTGTCACATTATTAAACAAATTCATGAACTGTATAATAACTTTTTAAAGAATTTATTTTTTCACTCTTAATTTAAAAACTGGAAATATTCAAGTAAGTACGTATTCGTATTGCCACTGTTCTGTTGTTCATGAGTATAGTTGGCGAGAGGCAATCACTTTGTAAACACACGAACAAAACAGATGAGTTTGATTAATATTATAACCGGCTTGATTTTAAATTATTAAACATTCAGTCTCTCCCCTACTTTTATTGATTATGATAATTTCCTGAACAAAATTATATTGTCAACACATAAATAAATGCGAAGATGTTGCCACGAAATCAGCAATCCTGCGAATGAACCGAAAATATCTATTAAAATTTACGAAAAATTGCTACATTTGAATTTTTAATTACCACATAGAACGCAAGGTGGCGAGACAATCGTCTCAGTAAACGCACCATCAAAATATATGAGTTTGCTAAATATTATGGGCTGCTTAGTTTTTTTGAGAACCTTCTTAACTTGAGTTCCTATTGAAAAATTAAATGTGTTACGATCGAGCTAAAACTTTGGGTGGTTGTTCATTAAGTCATCCCCGATTAACTCTTAAAATGTCATTCCAGATCATCATGCTAATTTTCCCGGATTTCCAATCCGACAAATTAATATTTTAACACGGCTTCTATGGAAGGCTGTCGTAATTTGAGCATGAAATGATTACAATTTGCTCAATTATGTTACGAGGAGAATAAAAAACTATCCATTAGAAAGATAAAGTCATCCCCTTTCGATCAGTACATTAAAAAATATAGGTCTTCGTGCTTTCTAAAGAAGTATTCAACGATCAAAGTATAAAATCATGGTATTTTGGCTTATGTTCAGCTTCTAACCCACTTCTAGGTTGCGCATAAGCCAGTTGCATGCCGAGACTACTCAAAAGTGCATACTATTGTTACGATGATCATCCCATTACCTTAAATTATAATTTTCTGTTGAGAAATATTTTATTCTCAATGTAAAACTAAATACGCAAACTTTCCAAAAACCATCAACCCTGAGAAAAGAAAGCTGAAAATATAGAAATTCGCGCAAAATCGCAATAGTTTTATTGTATGGTTGTAGCCATCGAACACCAGGTGGCTAGGGGCAATTCACTGACAAACACACGATCAAAATCTATAAGTTTGGTAGATATTATAAATTTGTTTTGAGTGATGAACAAAGTTATGCTCCAGCGCTTTTCACATGAAATAATCGTTTATTATAGTTTTGGAGTACGTTACGGACTATCGACCTTCAAGTTAAGCAGGTCCTCGTATATCGGCATTTATGCACAAGGCATTCTTTCGCGAGTGAAATTTTTCATTTTCACTCGACGTATAATAATTGCTTTTCTTCATTAAAGGCGGCTCACCAAAATTTCAAAAAGCAGCCAAATAGAGTCGTCGTGGTTAAACTCTTCCAGAAAACGATCGGGGCCTCGATTTATCCGTCGTCCGCATCGCGACGTTCAAAGAAAATCGAACGTCTCAATATATCCCGAGAGAGAAAGAGCCGGCCTCTCGATGCATGGCTCCGAACGAATGCAGATGCACTCACGCACACCCATGCCATATACGCGATACAATTTCGGGTACGTAAAACATCGCAGGTTTTATACTACTCAGCACCTGATCGCATCTTCGAGCGAGAGAGGAGCGAGGCTGTATACAGGCCGCAGCACCGCTTGCACTTTCTTCCGCGCGCGCGCGCGCGCCCGCTTCTCGTCGGGGATACTACTTATACTACACTGCAGGCCAGCTCCTTTCTCTCGCGGAAACCATATATACGCGCGCGCGATCACGAACACGAACGGCAAAGTAATAAAACGCATTGGCCACGTGCCTTGTTTTTTTCTCTCTCTCTCTCTCTTACTCTCCTTGCTCCTTTAATTTTATTTTTATTCCGCACTGCATCGGGCCGCATGTATATATACTCTCTCGCGAGTATTGCGCGCGGCCGGAGTCCGCTGCACCCGGTGGCCTCTTGGCATACGGACCTACTTACTCTCGCGTACTTGCTACCATGCGCACCGAGAGCTTTTGTTTTTGCGGCGGCGGCGGCAGTGGCTGAGTCAGTAAAATATATATCGTTCGCACGCGCCGCACTGCCCATTGCAGCTTGTGTATATATATATATACGGGTTATTTATTTTCGGGGGCCCTCGATTCGACCTGTGTGCCCAGGTATCAATTGCCGATACGCATTAAATACGCTGTAGCGGTAACTGGCAAATATTAAATACGTATTATATATACGTACGCACGCGGCCCCCGTACCAAAAGAATTATATTGCATCGCCGCGCGAGCTGCAATTGGAAAAAGGACCGGCAGGCTGGACGGCAGGCACTCACCGCGGCGGGCGTTGGACAGAGTAGAGCGAGGATATCGAGATTTCGTTCGTGGCCCGGGCAAAAAGGCACCGCGCCGCTATACGGAAGATGGTAGTAGCTTATACGCGAGGATGATAAATCTCGAGTGCGTCTTTTGACAACCGATCGTTTCGCGCGAGGAAATTGTTTTTTTCCGGCTCTTTTGTATTTATCAATCGTTCGTATTGTTTAATGTATGTTATTTAATCGTGTTTATCGATTTTTATTATATATATTATTGTAAAGCGAACGATGCAAATTGGTCGAAATTATTTCGGTAGATATTATTCGATAAGAGGTATGATTCAATCAAACTGAACTATATATGCTTAGGCTAACTAAACATTTTTTAAGTCTCAAATAAACCGAGTCTCATTCGATTGTACTTGCGAGTAAATTCTTTTACTTATAATATTATTTTGACTTTGCGGACGACGTGATGCGTGAATTTGTTAAAATATACGATTGTTTCACGTATTTCCTTCAGAAATTTCTGCGGTTTGGTCAAGATCTGTATCGACTCGTGCAAGAAACAGATGATTCACCGATGCGCTCGACGTTAGGACATACTCCTCTACATCGTATTTGTCGAACGATCGGACATCCTGGCTTAGAGGCAATAATTTGCCAAGTCATCGAATACACTAAGCAGACGTTGCGAGTCGATGTTCGGGACAAATGGGGAAAATCTCTACTTCACTACGCCGCGCATCTCGAAAACATCGAACTCGCCGAATCTCTGCTGAGACGGGGGGCTGATCCAAATTTGGCCGACGAAAAGGGTTCGACGCCTTTACACGTGGCTCTGGTCTCCGGCAACAAGACGATAGTCGAATTGCTGCTGAAAAATGGCGCTAACGCGAGTCAGGCCACCAAGGATGGACGGACTCCTCTGCACCTCGTTAGCAGTCGGAAAAATCGCGACATAGGCTTGGCGAAGCTGCTCTTCAAGTACAGCGGCTCGTCCCAGCGGGCGATGCCAATCGATGCTCGAGACGTATACGATAACACACCGCTGCACCGGGCTCTGATGAACGAACACGAGGAATTGGCCGAATTACTGCTGAGAAAAGGCGCCGATGCGAGTTTAGCCAACAAAGACGGGTCGACGCCTCGTCAGATCATCGATCAGAAAGGATACAAGGTTTTGGCGAAGATATTTTTTGGGATCAAGAATACGAAACGTCGGCCGGTGAAGATCCATGCCCGAGACGATTGGGGCCGCACGCCCCTGCTCAGGGCTCTGGAAAACAAAGACGAGCAGTTGTCCGAATGGCTGCTGAGGAGAGGCTCCGACCCAACGGCGACCAACAGAGACGGATTCACGCCGCTAATCCTGATTTGTCGGAACAAGTACAACAGATTGGCCGAGATACTTTTCGAAGTCAACGAAGATATTCCGCAAACGCTGTTGGTCAATGTCCAGGACAAGCGGGGCAACACACCTCTGCACCACGCGGCGTTCTCGGGCAACCAGCAGCTGGTCGAGTCGCTGCTGCGAAAAGGGGCAGACCCGAACGCGACCGACGAGTGGGGACTGTCACCGCTGCACGTCCTCAGCGATCGAGGTACGGCCGATGACTTGGAGTGGTTTTTCAAAGTCATCGAAGCGGTTGGACAGACGGTGCAAGTCAACAGCCAGGCCAAGTTGGGCGACACGCCGTTGCTCTTGGCTGTAGACAAGGGCCACAAGAGGCTGGCCGAGTCGCTGCTTAGACGAGGCGCCGATCCGAATCTGGCCAACGTCTGAGGCCTGACTGCCGTGGACGTCATTTGTCGCAATCTCGACGCCGACGCGCTGGCGATTTTTTTCAATCGCAACGTCTGCCTGGCGCGTAAGTTGGTGATCGACGCTCCGGACAGGTTGGGCGATCCACTGCTGCAATTGGCCCTCGGTCGTAGCAACAACGTAACGATCAGCAGCTACGACGAGAGCGAAAATCAGCCGTCCAATCGCCGACGTTACAAATACGTACAACGATTTCCTTCCTCGATTAGCGATGTCCCTACGAATTCTTTTAGAAGCTCCTCCAATAATTGGGGCCTGGAAATAGACTTGAAGTTTGGCCATCAGCTACAAGCGACGAAATCGCCCAACGACTCGCTCGACGAATACATGAAACTTCACGACAGAGCCATTGCTGTCTATACGGACGGTAGCAAGTGGCGAAGTGCTCCGTACGTAGGCGCGGCGGTCTACGTTCCCAGCGACGACGTCAAGATCCTGGTTAGCATGGAAAATCACCACTCGAGCATCGATGCCGAGTGCAAAGCGCTCGAGGTGGCGTTGAGGTATTGTCAAGGTCATCGAGAAAACTATTTCGTGATATTCAGCGACTGCAAGCCCGCGTTATCTATCTGTGCCAGACGTTTGTACAAGGCTTGCATCGAACCGAATTCGCGGAAAGTCATAAAATGTGTCTGGATACCCGCGCATCATGGCATCGAAGGCAACGAGATCGCCGATGTGGCGGCGAGGGCCGCCACTTACGCTTAGAAAAAAGATCCGAAATGATAAAGAAGGTTCGGTCGTATGTTATTCGAATGCAGCTTGGAGGACTGTGTGCATTGCGACTTGCAGATTTACAGATGACGGTTCTGGCCATCAGGCCATCTGATGGTGAAGTATGGCTTCAATTTTCATTGAATTTTTATACAATTTTCGAAGAATAAATGAATAATATCAATCGGTATGAAAATATTACTTTTATATTGAAATGTTTAAATTTAAGTAGAGAACTAAATCTTTTATGCTATTTATTGAAGAAATAAATTAACACTACTACATCATATTCTCAAGCTAAGATTCCATTATAAAATTCAGTATCGGTCTATTGAATTTTCAGCATTAAATTTTGACTTAACACTACTACATCGTATTCTCAAGCTAAGATTCCATTATAAAATTCAGTATCGGTCTTTTGAACTTTCAGCATTAAATTTCGACTTAATTAAAGGATCTTTCAAAATATAAGTATAAATATTGGTTTATTACATAATTGAGTTTGCATAAAATTTTATTAACAATTTTGCATAAATAGTGAAAATATTTTTACGAAAACTTCCAGTCACGCTTTCCCAGATCTATGCAAGAAAGTTTTGAGTAACGGATAATGCACGAAATAACGCGAACTAATCGAAAGCCAGTGCAATCTTAAATAAGCCCTCTAGCTTAAAAATAGCCGAATGGATAAAATTCACACATACTTCGACGCATTGCGCACCGAGAATTCTCACGCGTTCGCACGTTCATAGATACTACACTGCATCGCCCCGGAAAATAATTCGATTTCGACGTACGTGACACGTCTCGCTGGTCGCGAGACTGCCTCCGCACACGTTTCGGTGCACACGAGCCAGGGTCTTATATTTTTAACTAAAAAAAAAAAAAAGAAAAAAAAAATCAAAGCTAACGCACACAGTAAATCAAGTAACAAGCGCGGCAATTACTATAATACGTGCCCCGGATATACGGAGAACCGCCTACTACTGCTGTACTCCTTCGTCGCGACTCTACATGTACGTGTGTCCCAAAGCGCAGAGAGCGGCTTTGCGCCCGTGATCTCAAATATCCTTTTTACACGGCGTTACGCGTTTATATAGGTAGTACCCAATAACACGCGTGCGAGCAGATTTTTCGAAACTGTTTGTTATTCGCTTTTCATTTATTTTTAGATATTTGCATGGCTCCCACTTGTGGCATGACTGCGAATCAAGTGCAGAAAATGTTTGCTCGAATTCATAATAATTATAATTGCATTTCGTGTCACGTTTTTAGAGACCTTCGTTTCCAATTTCTTTACGGCAATTGTTTATAAGAGCAATATAAAAGTTTCGTTCGATGTACATAACTTCTTCGTATTTTACGACAAGTTTTATTGATTCATCTCTACCGAGAATAAAGTTCATTTTAAACATAAAATGCGCCTTCGAGAGTAATTTTACATACTGATCTCGTTGCTCGGGATTGTATATCCCGGCGAGAAACATTCTGTTACAAAATGCATCCACCTAGACACAATTTAATCACCCGGAGAAATCATCGAGCCTTGCCTTATAATGCGTACCTTGTATGCGCGCCCTTCGAGACGCGCCGAAGGAAGAAATTTGAAACATTTCGAAAGCACAGTCCTCTCGAATTCGGGCGTCCTCTTTCCTAAGGCAAGGCATTCTTTATCCCTGTATACACACTATGTATGTGCCATCCACAATAGCATCCCGAGATCTTTGCTCGTGTGCGCGCGCGCGCGAGGTCGAAGGGAAATGTTATTTCTAGATCGGAAGACAAACTCGATCGCGTCGGGAGTGCTTTTCTTTCGAGGGAGGCTTCATTGTGCCGCGGCGATCGAGCGCGAGGACGGGACTTTTGTTCGTGAAGTTTCGAGGTGCCAAATTCTGTACGCTAGAAGAAATGCGCGCGTGGACTAAGCTTTTCTTCGGAATTTTCAATGATGTTGGTTTTTCAATGGAGTGCACTTGAAAAAAAAACAACAAAATTTCGTAAAAGTTGGCCGTGCTGCGAGATTGGATTAATGAAGCTCTATTTTAATTTCCAGTTCATGACCATTGTGAGTCCATCATCTCGTGCATTAAAAATTTTACGATTCGTATAGGCGCTTGCCGTGGGTAAATATTTATTCGCAACGATTATTTATTCTAGCGCCTTTCACTCTCGCGACATAATCTAAACACACATCGAGATTCGAAAATAAAATAATCGGATCCGTTTGCGTATACCTGTTTCGTACCTTCGACCGCATGACAAAAGGATATTTGGTATTATCTATCGTTATATTATATACTTCGCTGGAATCTTGGAAGTATTGAGAAACGGCTTCTATTATTCGAGCGAGAGACGCGATGAAGGCACCACAATTACACGCGTAAGAATTGCGACACATATTCGCCGAGTCCGCACACGACGGATACCGTACAACATCATCCTCGAGACATTTTGATATTTTTATATGTCAAGTCGACACTTTCTTGTCTCGGCAGCGCAAAACTTCCTCTCGTCTCTCTCTCTCCCAATCAAATATTATACGCGCGCATATGTATACACACTTACACGCATACACCATATACGATCGAGCTCGCACAAAGAAATACACTCGAGGGTTTTAGAAAATCTATTATACACGGATCAATGGCGATCTATTGAAATCAGTGCGTATATAATATGCCTCTCAAGAAGGTCGTTATTAAAATTGTACGAGGCATAAGCATGTATATATTTTATTCTTGCGCGCGCGCGCGAGCAATGGCAGCGCAGTTCAATGGCTTGCGTCTCGTTTTTTCCGGCTTATTTAGCATATACACAGCAACTATAAAAAAAAATCTCTCGGGCTATATTATAGAGCTCGAGGATCGGTTCAATGCAAAACCATGGCACGCTTAATTACGCTCACTAAAATTTTGGGCCTTATTATACCTCAGAGGAATCGATTTGCACTCGAAAAGAATACATTACGTCTCTTTTTCCAGTTAATAGCCGTGAATCGTGTTTTATTATTGTTGATAACTCTCGGCTAGGGATTATTACGGTGCCCACACAACACACACACACGCACATTCGTCATCCATTTTTCCCGAGAAAACTTCACCTGTTATTGCTTCTTTTCTCTACACAAAAGCCAAAAAATTAATAATCTCGATCGACGCGAATTCGACAAGTTTTATTAGAATCGCCGTGAGCGTGAGTTTACTAATTCGCAATAGGAGAGGAAGTGAGAGTACGACCGAGTAACAGTTGTTTTTTTTTTTTTTTCAAAAAAGGCATTAAAAAAATCTGTCTACTTTACGCTATAATATATAGTTGCGTAGTAGTGCTTTTGTGTGTGTGTATACCGTAGTACAGTAATGATCATCTTCTTCTTGTTTTTTTTTCTTTGAATAAGAATCGTAAGCGTAAAGATATTTTATTTTTTGCAGAATCTCGTATACATACGATCGAAGAGGTTCGTGTGTTCCGATGACCGAGTGAAGCTATACACATGTATATTGTGCGCGCGTGTCGGAATACATACTAATTTAAAGTCGATTTTCACGCGGAGTTAATAATAATTCCCTTCATCCCTTTTTTCTTCCGCCGAAGCAGCAACGGCAGCTGTTGTTGTCTCGAAAAAGTTAACAAAAAAAAAAAAAAAAAATTTCTTGCCGTCATTCTCTCTCTCTCTCTGTTACTCTGGGTCATGAAAAGCAAAACTGTATTTACGTTTCGCGAGCTCGCTGACTTCTCTCTCTTTCTGGCTCTGGCTCTGGCGCGCGCGCGCGAGCGAGCAAGAGAAAAGCTTCGCTTTTGGCTTGCATTGTGCGCACTGTGTAACCAAAATCCGACTAACTGAAATGCGATCGCGCATTGTGTTTATATATATATACGTACTCGGGGGCCATTATAAGCAGCGCAGCTCCCTGCTGATTTTTTTTTTCTTCACGGTCGCGTGTACTTATTTTTTTGTTTTCTTTTCAAGATCTATATACTGCTACTACTGCGAGACAGCTGACCACGAGTCGCGTCGCGTACGCAGTTTTTGCTCAGGTGTGAGTACATACACATAGAGAGAATCGTATTTTCTGTCCCCGATACCGAGGAAAAAATCGTGTCACGCGTCGTTATTGTCTACTTTCGCGCGCGCGCGTGTACTCATCCCCGTGGGGGTCGTACGAGCTCTCCCTGCGTCTAGTAAATTTCGAGTTAAGACGATTTTCGAGTACACGCAGCATTTTTAGAAGACTCGCAGAGTTATGTGTCTCGAGGACCTTAGTCATTTCGCCCAAAGGTCCAATGCTTCGTGGGCGGAGAGAAAATGTGTTCGTTATAATTGGAGCAGGTCACTGTACAGGACAATAGATATCGGCAAAATGCGCAGGTTTTGACGGATCGATCTTCGGAGAGTATATATATGAAAATTCGTTTGTCGGAGTCGTCGCGCGCCCAGGATTGATTGTGGTATCCAACACTATGCTCTCCGGGGCACAAATGAATAAAAATTTCCAACAATGACTAGAATTTGTAGGCGCTTTTGTGGCGCGCGCGCGCGCGGTCAAACGCTTGAATGGATGTGTGGTTTTCATTATACCGAGTGTGTATAGAGGTAGGAGTGAGCGCAAGACTCGACAAAAATATTATAATATATATGATTTTCGAAGGTGTCAGAGAGAACAAAAAGTTTTGACACGAACTTGTAATGAGCCCCCGGCGCAAACTATAAAGGAGAAAGAGGATGAGTTGAAAAATATATAATATTCTCCACCTCCGCGCGTACTTTCGCGAAAAATCACAATGTCGCGAGATTTGAGGAACGCAGGCACACACACACACACACTCGTACTCGAGATTCTTACTTGTAACTCTATTTCATATACACATGAGTGAAATTGTTGGCACACGCGCGCGAGCGCGAAAAGATTTAGTATTTTTCAAATTTTCGACGAATTTAAATGGACGTCCATATATGCTTTTCCTCGATTGCTCGGGTTCTCGATTTATAACGCGCGAGAACGGCGTATTTATACAAGTAGGCGTCGGTATGCTAATCGTATTTACAACCGCCCAGAATTTGAGTCGTCAAAATTGGTGGAAGATTTATGCTAATGTCTCTCGCGCGTAATATGTAATTACGAATAAGTGCGAAAAAAGGAATCTTTTTATAAGTGTATCGAGAATACAACGAATCGAAAATTATTGCGGAGCGAAATTAATTTCAATTGGAATTAATTCATATTTTTCCGTGAGTATATTTATTGAAATTAATATTCATTTTAAGACTTACGTCTGTCATAAATGATCAACGTTAGGTGGTTAATTTTCAGCGAGCAGATTTTTTGAAGTTACAATGTACCTTTTTTGACATGCTTTTTATGCAATTATTTTTACTTTGCCACTTGCAGATTTAGAGATATAGGTACTCGCCATCTAGTGGAGAAAACTTCAAGTGGAATCATAGTATTTAAAGTAGTAAAAACTGGACTAATGTTTTAAAAAAATAAATTGATAAATCTAAGTCATTAAAAATGATCTGAATTTTCTGGAATATAACTATAACAGAAAAAAATCGCCGAAAGAAGTCAATTAATAGCAGCGTACTGTAAATCATTTAAATATCACAATTTTTTGGTTATTGAGCATTCTTTACCAGCAATAAAATATTAAGCATTTAAAAAAATGTTAAAACTAAAAAAAACACGCGTTTCAAAAACTTGAAGTGTATCGAAAGATAGAGCGGAAAACAATTTTTTGAAAAGAAACCTTAAAAATTTTCAGTGTGAATATCAAACGGCGACGCCGGCTCCAAATATACTCTCATGCACTGCGTAGACAAAAAAAAAGGAATAAAGAATATATTGACATCGATAAAAATCTATCGGTTACCATTGCTTGACTTGCTCATTCTCTTCGGTATACGTATACGGCATGCGAAACGCAGATTTACTTCAAGTGTATGCGCGTATCTATTATACTCGAGAACACTACGCGACACGGAGAGCTCATCGCTATGACGGATCGCCCGAGATCAATCATGAAACAGATCCGCTTTTCAAGATTTTAAAAAAGTTTTTACTTGACGTGCAGCGGCGGCAGCAGCAGCAGTCTCGAAGTTTGCGCTTTTTATTACCGACTCCTCCGATAGGCCAGGCCCTGGGCCTGGGCCATGAGCAAGCAGTTTTTGTCGAGAGCTCGGCGCGTCGTTTTAATGAATCGTTATTTAAAATGTTTACTCTAAATCATAATTTTTATTTTATTTTGTGTTCTTTTTTTTTACATCATGCTGATGGAGCAAAATCATTTTTGCCGAGGGTAAAACAATGAAAAGTCATCGCTTTTCCCAAAATCCTATTATGCCGTTCTATTCTCCTCTTGACAGATTTGATTTTTTTGATTTTTTTTCATAATTTAATGAAGTCCCGTCAAATTTATTTTTTGTTCCTTATTACAGTAGTTTAATTTCTACACAAATCTCAACGGTATAGTTATGATCGATTCTATCAAATGAATAATAAAAGTCATATTCTATACACGAATATACTGTAAAGAAATCAATCGAAATTTATATAAATTGAAAGCTCCGCGCTGCACTTTGTGCTCCGAAACTCGGATTAAATTAAATGAAGTCATTTGCGATGAAAAATGTCCATAATAAATTAAAAATTTCGCTCCCTTAATAATCCTTAAAACCTCGCACTAATTTGTACAATTTACTCATACGCGCGCGTCAGCCACGCAAATGGCGCAATCAAGCCGCGCCACCGCCGCGTAAAATATAATTTTACAATGTTTTAATTGTGAAATAAAAATTTAATAAGCGATCTCGGCCGCTGCTCCAAAAACAGCACCTCGCCACACACACACACACACAGCCTTAAGATAATAACGAAACGTGTACAATGCGTAGGATTTTTGCATCCACCCGAAAGTGAAATAAAAAAAAAGCCCTTATTCGAGCCCGAGAAAAAGTCCACCTTCTCCTCCTGCTTCTCTTTCTTCTCTTTCGCTGCAGCCCTTTCTCTTCGCGAAGCGCAAAAAATATTTGAGACGCATAAACAAACCCACGCTCTCTGCCGAGGCACGAGCGCCACGCGTATCACGTGTGCTCTGCTTTCGACTGTCTCTCTCTCTCTCTCTCTCTACTGTAACGCGTGTGATCAAGTCGAACAGTATGCTCGCTCGAGTTTTGGATATATGCCTGTATAGATGCCGCGAGGCACACAAACGCGCATCATCGGCATATATGCGCTTTCTTTCACACTGCAGCAGGTTGTATATACCCCGGCCGCCCGAATACATTATGCGCGCCGGGCATCGCTCGGGCTTCGTTATACGGACTCGCGGAGCAAGTGTATATTTATATCGCAGGCCAAGTACACGCATATACGCATCAACTCGTGCAGCACATATACAGTATGAATATACCTGCACGCACGCAGGTTATAATGCAGTAGCATGAGCTGGATTAGCTGCGGAGCGAGAGAGCAGTTGATTAACAGATCGCGCCACTTAATTTTCGGGCCGCAGAGAGAAAGGGAGAGAGAGAGAGAGAGATAGAGGAGGACGAGGGAAAAAGCAGTAGATAGTTTTTTGGGTGGTAATGGAATTGAGAAGCGCCCGATATATACTGCGCCGAGCTGAGCTGCTGCTGCTGCAAGCTGCCTCTTAATGAAATGAAAAAAAAGGAAGAGAGAGAGAAAAAAGATTATGCCTCGGCAAAGAGAGACGATAAGGCTGAAATATTATATGATGCGCGTATGTGTATACGCGGTATAGAGATTCGAGATAATGGCCTTCTCTCACCTTCACCCGCCCGACTTTTATACATATACCGAACATTATCATAACTACCAAAATGATAACAATTGCTGTCTCTCTTATTTGGCTGTATCGCGGCGTATGCCGAGGGTGCGCAAAAAGCAGCGCGTTTACTCAACTGCACGTGTATGCTGAAAACGAGGCAATCGAAATAATAGTGCCGTCGTTCATTTTTTCGCGCTGTTTAGGAGCTCCGAGAAATATTAGACGGTTTCGGCTTTAGATATAAGTGAGATACGAATGAAGACTTTTTACACTTTTCTGAGGGTCTTTGTAGTATTACTCTTGCTAAACATGATAAAATGATTTCTTCGGCGTCGAGTAATATTTCACAGCAATGATGTTTATCGGTGCAAAAATCATTTTTGAAAAAGTTTCTCTTGTGTACAATATTTACAATTTTTCTGGAAACTCCTTGAATCTTCAACAGTAAAATCTACAAAATTATATATTTTAAAATTAATAAATAATCAATTGTTTTTATATCTTAGAGATGTATTCTGTTAATCAAGCGAGTACTTTCAACGATATAATATTATGATTTCATTGTGTATTGTCAACATTGACTTATTCAAGTTTTCAATTTATAGATTGTAAACATTATCGAGCTGAGCTCCAGTTAGTTTCATGTGTAGAGTCGGTCTAGAAAGATTAATCACAAACGGATTTAAAAGCAAGCAAAATGGAATCGAGTGTAATATTTAACAGTGCCGTTAGGTAATTATTTCATCCAAATAACTTCATTTCGAAATGAACCAACCAGAATTAATAAAAGTTATTTCAGAATTAAAGAAGAACCAATTGACGTGTTGCTCGGTGAAAATGATTACATTGTAATTCACAAGACACCCAATGTCAACAATTTTCAATTCCTCAGGCATCCGCAAGAAAATCAAGTAAGTAATTATAATAGCATAATAGCTCATTTATTCATGAAACATTTCACATAAATTATATTTTATTCAGATTCAAAAATCTGACGAAAATCACGAAAGTGAACTTGACGACTTGGCGATCGAGTTGGAATGTAAAGACATGAAGCCGAGCTTGGATTTATTAGCAGTTATGAAAATTGAAAATTGTTTTGAAGATCACTTAGCGGCTATTGAAAATGGTAACGAATATCAAACTCAAAACATTAAATTAGAAGCTTTGGATGCAATAAAAAAAGAATCGTTTGTGGACGACGCAAATCAATTGAGTATGAACTCAAATTGTGAACTTTTTGCGACAATGAAAAGAAAAACAGTTGTAAAAAATAGGGATTATAAACATAAACTCAAAAAACACATTGTTGACACGCCGAATGGTAAAATCGCTTATCCTTGTGATACATGTGGAAAGGCATTCAGACATAAGAAGAGTCTCAAAGTTCACATCGATTCGGAGCATCTTAAAATCACTCATGCCTGTGACTTATGTGGAAAGTCATTCGGACATAAGAGCAATCTTAAAAAACACATGGAATCGATGCACCATAAAATCACTCATACCTGTGAAGTATGTGGAAAGACGTTCTCTTACAAGAGTAATCTCCAAATCCACATCAACTCGGTGCATAATGGTACAATCACCCATTCTTGTGATACATGTGGAAAGTCATTCGGACATAAGAGCAATCTTAAAAAACACATCGAATCGTTGCACCATAAAATCACTCATACCTGTGAAGTATGTGGAAAGACGTTCTCTTACAAGAGTAATCTCCAAATCCACATCAACTCGGTGCATAATGGTACAATCACCCATTCTTGTGATACATGTGGAAAGTCATTCGGACATAAGAGCAATCTTAAAAAACACATCGAATCGGTGCACCATAAAATCACTCATACCTGTGACTTATGTGGAAAGACATTCTCAGCTAAAGATTCTCTCAAAAAACATATTGATGCGATACATAATGGTAAAACTTCGACATGCGATATCTGCGGAAAGACGTTCTCTCAAATGAGTAATCTTCGCATCCACATCAACTCAGTTCATTATTGTCGAAAAGATTACGAATGTAACGTATGTGGCAAGAAGTTCTCCCGAAAGGGCAATCTCCAAATCCACATCAACTCGGTGCATAATCGGAAAATCACCCATTCTTGTGATACATGTGGAAAGTCATTCGGACATAAGAGCAATCTCCAAAGACACATCGATTCGGTGCACCATAAAATCACTCATACCTGTGACTTATGTAGAAAGTCATTCGGACATAAGAGCAATCTTAAAAAACACATCGAATCGGTGCACCATAAAATCACTCATACCTGTGACTTATGTGGAAAGACATTCTCATTTAAAGATTCTCTCACAAGACATATTGAAGCGATACATAATAGTAAAACTCCGACATGCGATATCTGCGGAAAGACGTTCTCTCGAAAAAGTGGTCTCCAAATCCACATCGATTCAGTGCATAATAGTTATACGAATGTGACGTGTGTGGCAAGAAGTTCGCGCGAAAGGCTCATTTGAAGAATCATACCGATTCGTTTCATAAAGGTATCACCTACCCGTGAGATTTTCACATCGATTCGATACATAAAAATATCACTTACCCATGCAATTTCTGCGAGCAAAAATATAAGAGGCAAACAAGACTTTTTAAGCATGTCAAATTGTTGCATGCAAGTAATACCCCCTACCCATGTGAAAAATGCGGCAAATCATTTTTACTAAAGAATAATCTTAAAAAGCACATCGACGTGGCTCATCGCTGATGCATTATAGTCTGATAATTAATGTAACAAACTGATGTCTAGTTGTATTAAAAAACTACCATCTTTGATCTAGTATATTTGTTTTGAAGTATATTTGTCTTGTCTAGTAAAGCTCACAGCATACATAAAGTCGTCGCATGATGATTAACTCACACAATTATAACTTAACTAACGTATAAAATGAATGTGCAATTATGTCAAATACTACTTTTCACCGCGAGATATGACCTAATGTTTCAGAAGAGTGATGTAAAAGTAGCAATGATAGTACCTTCTAATTGTCTATTTTTGATTTCGATCTTATCGGCGTTATTAATAATTTGAAAATTATAGAATGATCATTGTTGACTAAAGGCGCTGAATTTTTCCGTTGCGCGAGCTATACTTAATACAGATAACAGCTGTTATAGATTTTCTCAATGTATATCTTCGAGGCACCATAGAGACTTGTATCATTTTCAGAATAAAAATTTATCTTAGTAACTCGAATAATCATGAAAATTAATTGTATTTTAACAACATTTATTTATCATAACCAATTCTTGAAATGTTTCCGTTTCAAAATGAAAATAAAGATTGCCTCGTCGGCAAAATGGAATATGAATTATTTTATCGCCCGAAATTTGACGCTGATTTTTCTTTTCAATTCTTCTAGTTTAATTTTTGAAAATAACTGGAAAGGTGATGAAATTTTAAAGTGTGATACTTCGATATAGAAATATCGGTTTTTTCTCAAAATGAAACATCATGGCGTAATAAAGGTGAATAGGTATAAGTGAATATAGGCAGATTTATCTATAAAATGTAACATCTTATTTCATGTAATAACAGTCTGATCATTAGATCCGTATAAAAAAATATAATACAATAGGTAATATTATTTACAGCCATTTTTTTCTTCTTCTGCGTTTCGCCGCAATATCATTTGAGAGATTTGCACGACAAAGTTTTAAGGCACACGTCTTCAAGGCAGTTGAGAATAAATTACATGTAAATCCTAATAATCGTCCGATTACGCTTATTTCGGTGCGACTCATTAGAATTCAGGTTACTATATGTACAGTATATTTATATGTACAGTATATTTATATGTACGAATGTTATTTTTTTAAGTGTCTTCGTCAGTTCATGGTAATAATATCGTATACATGAAAAAAATACTATTTCCACTTTTTTTTGTCTTATCCTATATGATCTTACATAAACGCTAATTTGCATCAGAATAGGTATTTCTACAATAATTTTCTACTTAAATAATAGTCTTTTCATTTTTTTTAGATCATCCACTTCACTCTCGTACGTAATTTCGATTCCTTATTTCAATACTGACTAGTTTTTGGCTTGATCGTTTGCGATGTCAGAAATTAAAAACCGCTCCAAGTTTTCGGTTGAATTTCTCGGCAATGATTTCTGTAACAAAAAAAAAAGAAGAAAAACATGAGTAAAGCTTGTTTTGCAATTTTTTTCAAATACAATTGTAATGCACTGGTGAAATTTAATATATTAGCAAAGGGGGAGAGAGAAACAGACAGCGTCGGGCTTAGGTTTTCTAAGCCAAAGGGGGGGCTGCAAGACGCCCAGAAATTAAATCGAAAATTGTTCCGATTCAGTTGCGAATTTTTGCGTATTCGCGCTCTCGTATACATTATCATGGGGTGTGTGTGTGTGTGTGCGCATTTAGCCTAGAAAGAAAAAAGAAAACGAGCTCGATCTCGTGGGCCTTTCATGCTCGTGTGGACGAGGATCGACGATGTACAGCGACGGCGCATTAGCATAATTAATTCAATTGCCAAGTGCGATGCGAGGGACCGATTCACGCGCGCGCGCGGCATCCCTCCTGTGAATGGGCCCCCGAAATGAATATTCAGCATTTCGTCCGTCGCTGAGCGAGATAGTAGACATCGTAAATACTCGAGGGGGATGATATTTTCGTGTTTGTGCGCGTGTGTGTGTGTATACCGGTTCGGTGCAAAGGGGCTGCAACAAGTCCTTTTCTACCGAAAAATGCGAAACGAGATTTCAACCGTTCGTTCTTTATTTTCTTCCTTCATTTTTTTTTTCATTGTCACCGAAATTATACGCGAATAATTTTTGAGAAGCGAGCCAAAAAAAAAATAAAATCGAGTTTTTAAATCAAAAAACTGTATACATATGAAATAAAATAAAAACCCGAGGTGAATGGAAAAAAGAAGAAAATCTCGATCCCGAGAGTTCACGGGGTGTGCGCGTGCGCGTGTGCGATTTATTTTATAAAAAAAAAAGGAAGGTGCGAATGAAAGTAAACTCGAAATCGTGATCCCGAGGGATGCGTGTGGAGTATATGTGGAGTGCACAAAAATACAAAAATACAGAGAGAGAGAGAGGAGAGACCGTACACGAGACGAATCGAGGGAGGAAAAAGGTCCCCATTGAATTTTGAATCGTAATGTGCAGGGCATCGCGCGTACAAAAGATCTCTCGCTTGAATGGGCCTCAAAGTTCCTTGTTGTATAAAAGAGAGTACGTAAAGTAAAGAATGAGACTGATCCCTCTCTCGGTGCCGGGCAAAGTCTGAACGCGAACACAACAGATGGGGTGACTCTTGTTATTATTGTGTTACTATCCACTACTACCTGGGATGCATTTATCGAGGAATAGAATTTTCGAATAATAACATTTTTTTGATGATATTTAATTTTTTTCTCAAAAAGCCACGAGAAGAAGCATGAAAAAGAAATCTATCAAATAGGAAAATTGAAGCTACCAACCTGTTGCAAATCGCTCTTTGTATCGCTAGCTATATTTGATAGTGCACCTCCGCAACTCCGCTTGTCTACGCGTGAAGGAGCTGTTGCTGCTGCTGCTGTTGATGATGCTGATTGTCGTTCTGCCACTGATTGATGAAGTGAAGGATATCCTTCTCCTCGCTGCTCATAAAGGGCGCGGAGTCGAACGACACCTGAGTCTGCAGATTCAGGGAATTCATGGTGTGATAGCTGCCCTGGCCGTAGCCTTGGCTGCCACCGGTCGACGAGGTCTCGCTGGTGTAGCTCGGTGTCGGCGAGTTCGAGTTGACATACGTCACTTGCTGTTGTTGCTGTACCTGTTGTTGTAATTGAGGCTGCTGCTGAATCATCTGATACTGATCCTGGTGAACGTACTGTTGATCGTAATGCGTCTGGACGTTCGGGTACGACTCCTCGTCGCTCTCGGACTTGAGTTCGAAGTTCATGTCGACGGTCATGCCGGCGCTGTCCAATGTCTGCACGATGTTGTTGGGCAAGGGCGACGCCGAGGACGATGTCTGAGACATGGCCTCGGCGTCGTGCTCGTCGATCATCGACTTCATGCCCTCGATGTACTTCAACGCTATTCTCAGTATCTCCACCTTGGACAGCTTCTTCGAGTTGGATTTCGAGCCCGACGCGCTGGACGATCCACTGCCATTTCCATCGGCATTGTTTCCACCGGGGTTGGCACTGCTGGCGTAGAAGGTGGCCAGGGCGTCGGGGATGTGCTGCCTCAGGGTGGCAAAGCCGTTGTTCACTTGCTTGACGCGATTACGCTCGCGCGCGTTACGTCGAGCCACGGAGGACTGCTGTTGTGGCAGGGTCGAGCCGTAGAGCTTCCTCTTCTGAGCCGACGACATGCGATTATCCTTGACGGAGTCGTTGCAACTGCTGCTGTTGCTATCGTTGCTGTGCTCGTTCTGGACGATCACGTTACCACGGATCGTGGAAAGGGGGGTGCCGATGAATCGGTGCGCTTTCGCAATCTGATAATGCTGCTGTACACTCAACATTATTGTATTTTTTTTTTTTTTTTTTTTTTTTTTTTTTTTTTTTTTTTTTTTTTTTTTTTTTTTTTTTTTTTTTTTTTTTTTTTTTTTTTTTTTTTTTTTTTTTTTTTTTTTTTTTTTTTTTTTTTTTTTTTTTTTTTTTTTTTTTTTTTTTTTTTTTTTTTTTTTTTTTTTTTTTTTTTTTTTTTTTTTTTTTTTTTTTTTTTTTTTTTTTTTTTTTTTTTTTTTTTTTTTTTTTTTTTTTTTTTTTTTTTTTTTTTTTTTTTTTTTTTTTTTTTTTTTTTTATAGTTTTTTTCAACTGCGTCCTTTCGCAAATCACCCACTGCAAAGTCTTCAAGAAACACACAATTCACTTTTTTTTTCTCGCAAAACGTCAAACGCGAGCGCGAAACAAACAGATCGAGATTTTACTTTGCTCTCTGCTCTTTGCTTTACAAGCGAAAGAAGAAGAACTTGGTAGAAGTAGTAGTAGTTCGTGAGCCGATGCTAACGAAATGTGTCGAGTAAAGCGGCAGTAGGGGCCTTATATAGTGAGCGGGCACGCGTCTCGCTACCCCCACCGTAAGGCTCAGCTCGTCGGCGAATGTAAGCGGCGCACGAGTGAGAGCGGGCCCAGTACGCAGTAAGCAACAGGCAAAGAAGAAGAAGAAGAGAGAATAAAACCCGTCCCCAATGGCTGGGGGATGGGGTGGGGATTCGGAGAGAGATTTCATACGTATACAACCTTCTCTCTCGCTCTCTCATATACTTGCTCCCTTCGGCGCGCATCAGGTTTCTTTCTTTTTTTTCAATTTGTATAGAAGGTATATATTGGATGGATGGTAGCAGCGAGGGGCCTACACACAACAAGTTGAATATATACGTTGGTGTATATACGTATACGTGTGTAGCGTACGCTGCTACACCCTGTCGGTATGTGTGTGCACTCGGTCGCGCACACGCACGTACGCGACCGGTATTTCACAGTATGTGCGTCGAATTGCTCGGGCGCGCGTATACACACACATACACACACTGACAGACACACGTTTGCCCCCGCGCTCGCGCGCTCGTGAGCGGTGCCTACCCATACTCTCGTCCATCCCGTGTATAGAGCACGCATAGGAAGATCTGCAGGAGCGAGCCGAGCGGCACGCGACCCTCCCCCACCTGAGAGAAAACGGACCAACTTGTGCTGCGGCTGTTGGTTGCTACTAGTGTGGTACCGCGTCGGCATGCACTATATGCCTATATGAATATGGACGCCGTAGCCGCGACGCACGATTTTCGGCGTATACAGACTATATTGGACTGTATATGAAAGGCGCGCGAATACGTATAGAGTACAGATCTGCAGCGTTAAAGTCACCATGCACAACCGATTCGTCGTCGCTAGGCGCGTGGCAGTTACCGAGGAAATTGAGATAAGACACATGTCGCAAATTGGCGGTACCGATTTAGACGATAAGATCTATGATCTCTTTGTGCGGTATCTACGGTGATATCTTCTTCTTTTTTCAGTTTGCGATTTTGAGTGTAGTGCGACCGGTCGTGGAGGTCGAGCTACGAGTTTGTTCGTCGTACTATCTATAATTCCTTTGGGGTGTTGATAAACGAAGCTATAGATTAATGAATTTTATAATTAATGAATGATAATGATCGAATTTTAGACCCCCGAATTCATTTCGTACTTCGATTAATCATATCTATTGGCTCATTCGATTGAAAGCTTGGATGACGAAATTCGAGCTTCGCTATGACTTCTCTTGGGGACTTTTCTCACTTTTACAAAGAATAAAGTCTCGTATGCTGAAGTACGCGCTTAAATGCGGCTGGACTGCTTAACTGCTGCTGGACACTGCTGCACTGCTGCTGTGTATATAAAGTAAAAATTCAGGGTACTGTAGAGCAGCGCCGCCTCACGAAATAGTGGCAGGGAAGCAAGTTGCTAAGAGCGCCCAAGGCAAAGCTATACATCAGTCTTTTTCTTCCTTGCTGCTCTCGTTCTTTCCAGATCTCCTTCTCTCTCTTTCTCTATCGCTATCTCACTCGTTCGTTGCGTACGCGTATAAAAAATTCGGTACGTGTATACATGGCGAGGCGCGAGCCAGGAATACATACACACAAACACACACACACACGCATATGACCGGCAGCAAAAAACGCGTAGCAGAGAGAGGAGGGACCGAACGGCAGCAAGAGCAGCATACACCGGTCCAAAAAAGAGAAACGAGAAAGAAGAAGAAGCGAGCGAGCTATGAGGGGGGAAACAGGCGCACGCCGAAAAACCAGAAGAGTATATATAAGAGAGAAGAAGAAAGGTGGGGAAGACCGTCGCGCGCGCGCGAACGAACTGCAGCAGCCAAAAATATATATATCGAAGATAAGCCGAGGAAGCAGTGTATAAGCAGTGTATAATAAGCAGTGTGTGCGAGCTCTGCGCTGCTGCTCCGAATACAAGAGCGAACCGAACGAGAGAGAAGAAAGAGAGCGATCGGCACCGACAGCGGAAGAGCGGAGCTCACGAAAAGCGAGGTGCATTACGCTCTGCGAGAAGAGTCCAGGCAGATTTACGGCTTGAGGTCCCTTACGTCGGTTGTTAAATTGGTTTTTACGGAGGCTCTTTCACTCTCTTTTGCGCTTAGTAAGCGCGGTAACAACAACTCTTGCTTCAAAACACAGCACGCAGCACCTATAATATTTTTGATAAAGAGTTCGACCGATCCAAAACGAGCTTCGACGTTTACGGCCCTTTTTTCCGTCTAATACGTATACCGCGCGTGCGCGCGGGGAAAACGAGTCCGCGGTGCGATGGTAAGCCCAAAGACGAAGATGCGAACCCCCACCCCTACCTTGATTTATACAGTACGGATCATAAAAAAAATATGCCGCTATACGCACGTCGATGAGATCGTTTTCTTCTTCTTCTTTTTTTCTTTTATCCTTTTTTTTTTGTTGCTCTATATACGCGCATATGATATAAAAATATAAATACGTGCCTTTTTTTTATACTCGCTATACTCCGGGGAGAGGAAGATCTTTTATAATCGTTTATGCTTGATGCGTACGCGAGCTCGTTTCGAAGATGACACCGCCGTGTTGCAAAGCATCGGCAGCACCGAGATCGGCATACATTATAATGCACGGGGGTTAGAGCGATAATGGGACACGAATTCATAATCCGAAATTTTAATGCGGCACCGACCTTAGACGATATATATATATATGCTCTTGTATGCCTCGGCTATATATATAGCTTGGCGAATGTAAAAGAGGTTAGATATAATATGCGTATACGCGCATATGTATAAAAAAAATACCTGTACCCGAGGACAAGAGAGAGAAATGAAAGCAAAGCATCGAGCGGAGAATGGAGCGGAGCAAGTATAAAAAGCAAAAAAAAAAAAAAATAAGTGCGAGTAGTGCACGTAGTTTATACATAGAACCGGGGGTCCCTGCGCTGCGCGCAGAGCAAAATGTTCGAAACCGAAAGGGAGAGAATACGTCCGCGTATGTGTGTAATGTAAGCACGCGAGCGAATACATACACACATATATAAGGCCCCTCTGCTATATACACACACGAAGGACGACCGAAAGTGTCGTGCGCCCCGAGTGCCCCACCATCCAATGCCGGGCCCTGGGCCTCGTATATATATGGGTAAGGCTCAGAATTTTTTAAATAAACCTGCGCTCGTATGTCACCGATCTTGACGCGCTTTTGGTATGTTATAGTACATGGTAAAAAAGACCCAAAACCAAAATTTTAGACCCCCTCCCCCCTCCTACCCCCCACTTCCGGTATAAACGTCCATTTTCTATCTATATTTTTTCTGAAGGCCTGAAGCAATTAAAAAATCTGAAAAAATTCACAAAAATACTTTTCAACAATCCAAACAACCTTGAATTTTTTCAGATTTTTTGAGTGCTTCAGGCCTTCAGAAAAAATTATTGAAAATTTTGAAAATTCATATACGGCGCTACGATGCAATACAAAGCCCGATCTTTTTTTCCACTTATTTTTGACATCAAAATACATAACCTCAAATTTTTTCAGATTTTTTCAGACAGAGCGCTGGCGGTTTTTAGCCGAAAAACGCCCTTTTTTTACGAAAATAATTTTTTTAGGGCGATATGAAGCTTTAAAAAATCTGGAAAAATTTTTTTCTTGTTTTTCAGGTCAAAATACATAACCTTGAATTTTTTCAAATTTTTTAATTGAAGGCGATAGCATCTATGGCTAAAAAACGCTATTTTTATGAAAAACGGTTCCTGGAACCCAGAGGTTCCGGTAAAAAAATTTGAAAAAATTTTTTTCGAATTCCTTGTCAAATTTTAATAAATTTTGACCGTCGCAAAATTTCGATTGGAGCTTCCTAGCTCATTCTAGAGCATAACAAAGATTCGAGCGAAATTCTGAAGAAATTTGAAAAATAATGTAATTGTGATGAACGTCTTCAGAATTTCGCTCGAATCTTTGTTATGCTCTAGAATGAGCTAGGAAGCTCCAATCGAAATTTTGCGACGGTCAAAATTTATTAAAATTTGACAAGGAATTCGAAAAAAATTTTTTCAAATTTTTTTACCGGAACCTCTGGGTTCCAGGAACCGTTTTTCATAAAAATAGCGTTTTTTAGCCATAGATGCTATCGCCTTCAATTAAAAAATTTGAAAAAATTCAAGGTTATGTATTTTGACCTGAAAAACAAGAAAAAAATTTTTCCAGATTTTTTAAAGCTTCATATCGCCCTAAAAAAATTATTTTCGTAAAAAAAGGGCGTTTTTCGGCTAAAAACCGCCAGCGCTCTGTCTGAAAAAATCTGAAAAAATTTGAGGTTATGTATTTTGATGTCAAAAATAAGTGGAAAAAAAGATCGGGCTTTGTATTGCATCGTAGCGCCGTATATGAATTTTCAAAATTTTCAATAATTTTTTCTGAAGGCCTGAAGCACTCAAAAAATCTGAAAAAATTCAAGGTTGTTTGGATTGTTGAAAAGTATTTTTGTGAATTTTTTCAGATTTTT